TAAAAATGGTCCACCGAAAACAAAGAGACTAACATAAAGAAAAAGCCTTGTTTTCATAAGCCTGTGACAGGAGCAGTATATTACTACACTCGTTTTTAGACTTGTCAGATGTCCTTGCTGGCGAATCTTGTACCAAATCTTGATGATGGGGGGGGTTGCTTGCAGGTGGCAGCGAAGGGATAATGCGTACTCGGGTTTTTCTGCTTGATTGAATGCAAGTCTGCAGTCCCCCATCTGCAGCCCTGCCGTAATAGCAAACAGAAAAACAGGATCTCTAAACCCCCCCCGTCCCGACTGTAACCTTGGCCGTGGCATGCTGCGGGCACGCATGCATGAGCCGGCTATCTTCTGACGGGGCAATATATTGGCGGAGCTTCCCAGAGCGCTAAACCTGACAGCTCACACTCCCTCGCTCTGATGAGCAGACCTCCAGTGGCTGAGCGTCAGTTCTACTGGATGGCACACACCACTAGCACCTTGCTGTGACATTGTAGTTTTAATGTGTGTTATGACAAATGCAGAGCAGTGGAATAAATACAGATCTGGACTCTGACACAATGAATGAATCCCTCCCATAACAAATTGTCAGTTTACACATATACACATCGTTAAATTGAGCAGAAGAGAAGTTTACATATGCCATACATAAACTGCTAGCTCACTTTTCTCCACATTTGCCACATGCATAAATAATGCAATTTTAGGTAAGTACGTAAAGATTACCTGTCAGAGAGGTAAACTGCCAAATTTTGCTATGTTCTTATGCATGTAGCTGTTTCTTTTGAATCTTCAGCAATCTTAAACAACGAGACCCTCAAGCTATGCCAGGTTTTGAAAAACATCAATCAGCAGTAATTATTCTAGAAGAGTCAATCTCTCTCAGACAAATCTCAACACAAAATTCTCCTGAATACCAAAATTAAACCGTATCATCACTCCAAATCTGTCTCAAAAGAATTTTGGCCTTCAAACTGAAGTTACCTGAATGAGATCATTCCTTCAGTGTGGCATAAAAACTGCCAATTTAATTACTCAAGGCTCCAAATCCAATATTTTTGTCTAGTCTTTGCTCACTGGTACAAAGGGTTTCCTCAACAACATACAGTACATACATGTACATAAAAAACACCCCCCAAAAAAACCTGTTTACCTCTCTCTCTCTCCTAAAACCCCAAGTGACTGCGATCAATTCCCCACTCATTACTCTGCGCCACTTCATTTCCCTCTTTCCTTCCTCCTTCCAAATTTCCCTGTCTCCACTTTCCCAATTTGCCTCCACCACCAAAAAAAACAAAAACAAAACAAAACAAAATAAAGACGGGAGACAAATTTAAACAGGCATCCCTCGACTTCTTTCCTGGCTCCAAGAATCCTGGCTGGGACAGCACACCTATCACCGGCCGTTTCCTTGTTCCAGTGTTAACCACTGGCCTCCCTTCCCGCCTTCTTTTGTCTCTTGTTATCTGTCAACAGGTGAAATCTAATTTTTATTTTTTTTTTTTTTTTTGGTTCCGTTGGTGACACCACCCGCCCATTTAACCAAGGGGGGGAGGCAGAAGTTGGTAAAACGCTTTTCATTCCCTTCCTGCTTTCCCCTTTTATTCTGTCTCAGCCTTGTCGGCATTTTTGTGTATGTCTGTGAGGTTCGGTGTGTTTACAGTGGATGCTGAATCATCACCACTGGAGCTCTTCTCATCTAATCGGCACTGACAGTCAAAGCCAAGGTCACCTGTATTTACATGTACCTGGGTTCGTGGGGAAAGATGAAAGTAGGGAGAGGGGGAGACAGACACTCTGCCTCGCCGTCGGGGTTTATTTGGCCAATGTTTTCGCTACTTGTTTGCTAGCTAGGAGTCTGTCTCCTCTGTTGTCGTCTGCCTGTAAATATGATCTCTGAGGAATGGGAAACCACCTTCACTTGCCAATCTCCCAAGACGAGTGCACAAACAATGTCATGTTAGGTTGCACCTTCTACCGGTTTTTCCTATCAGATCATCCTGAATCCATTCTTGCATATATAGATCTCACTTTTCATTCGCTTCCATCTCAACAATGTAACTGATTACCACCTACAATACCCATTCATTCATCTAAGTTCATTAATCCTATAGTTCGAGAGCTTCCACAGACTAAACTTTTTGGAGAAAGGAAAAAATCTTCAGAACATTTTGGACAAATTTAAACACATTAAATTTTCAAAAGAACTCAAAGTAAAAACGGGGACAAACAATCATGTCCTTAATTTGTCTGAAATAAACAACTTTCTATAAAAAAGAAAACATTCCATAGACCTACTTCCCTCAAATATCATACACCAACTAAAAACGAAAGGCATGACACAGGAAGCAGGAACAATTTGGTGCCAGACAACTTTGTTATTTTGAGACTGTACCGGGTAAGTTGTTCTTTCATCATTTCCTAATCTTACATTACTAGTCTTTCAGCTTCAGTGAAATTCTACGCTAGGGTAAACACCCTCAGCATCTTCAATCAGTCCCGAGTTAATTCAATGTTATGGGACATTTGTGTCAGATTTCTATCCTGAGATCTCTGATGCTCTTTTCCTCCTCAAAATGAATCAACCAAATGAAAACAGCCCCTGAGAACGAGCATTTCTGGTTCAATGAAAAAACAATTATTTAACCCACACAATTTTCTGACGTGCAGACTGTACAGTCAGAGGGAGAAAAGGGCATTTTTCATTTGAGGATTTATTAACAATTTCTGGCTGCTTCCCAACAGTTTTCAGTTGGCAAGTCTAAGAGAATACAAACTAATCAAAGGTAAAGTTTCCTTAAAACAGGAAACTTTAAAAAACTGATTCAAAATTCTACTTTTACATCGTAAAATGTCAATCCCAACATACTGTACAAGTATGTGTGATTAAACAATTCAAGATAAAAATCCCCACAAAAATGTGTTTGTATTACACAATGTAAGCGCAATTTCCTTAAAACCAACACGCCATGGCTCAGTGAAGAAGTCACTGCAATGAAAACAGCAAATGTCTGGCAAACCTGTCCAATATTTGTGAAACAAATTTGGCACTCGGATTGAAAGACAAGCCAATTGCACATCTCAAGCTCAGCGTAAAGAGAAACAGTGGACCCAACGCCGACGATTGGTATTCACCATCTTGAGAACCTCTTCAGACAAGCGAGAAAGAAGGAGTTGGGGGGAAAAAAAACGAAAATGGTTGATCGCCTGGTGTGTGTGGGGGGGGGTTAGTAAGACTGGCAGATGACAGTAATCCTATAATGCAGCCTTGAAGGCCAGCTAAAGAAGGGACGGGACTAGCTCTGCCCCTCAACAACTTGTCAATACTGACTTTGAGGTGCCAGTCAGGTTTGTGATAACATTTACGGTATACTGGGACTCTTCGGCTTGTCCAGTTTTGCGGAGATCCTGCAGTCGTGCCTGCGAGAGACACAGAGAGAGAGAGAGAGGGGAGGAAGCATGGAGTGGCCGGGAATGTGGAGGCGGGGGGGAATTGGCAGTTTCTGGCGTTGTGGGGGAGTAGGAGGAAATGCAGGAATGCCCTAGAGGGGTGTACATGTACGGTAGATGAGGTTTATGCGACACTTGATTGTAATATAGCAACAATGATATTGAAGCAACGCCTGGTGTATGTCATCAAGTCCTTTTACGATTTTTGAATTTATTCAAAATTGTTTGTGATATGATTTTGAAACCTCTTCAGTCACAAAAGTTGTATCCACATTGTACATGTAAATGAAAGAAATAGTCTTGCACCTCCAGTTTTTGGTCTTTATGAGTTGCTGCTGCAAAAGTGCATATTTTATATTACGTATTTCAAAACTGTCATTATATTTCTCATGCAACCAGTTAGAAACTGTGAGCACTCTGGTTGTGGGTACTGCATGATATTTACTCTGTAAAACAAGAAAAGAAATAAGAAATGAGACCAAATTTTAGGTTTTAACAGATCAGATTGCACTTTTTCAATTTACAAACTTCAACCATCAAGACTACTGAGTGGCTCACAAAACGGTCAAATAAAGCAACAAAAGCTTTGGTCATTTACATGTACTTCCACCAAATTCTAGTCAACAGCAGTAAACCTGCAAAATCACTGGGGATGGGTTGCAGCCTTTCTGAGTTTCTTCGGAGTTACAACTGCAAGAGAAGCGGCACTGCATGCATCAAAATAGATCTGTTGAAATGTTTCTGGAGTGACTACTGAATTTGTACAGGAAAACCTGTTTCAAAAGACTCCTACATAGTGCAAAATACATGTACAGGTATTTCATCTTCGGCTACTGTTCTGCTGTACACATCAAGCTCACAGGAAATATCTAAAGCCAATGTACATATAGGTGGCAGCAAACAGCTCCGTTATGAACACAGTAATAATGTCTGCAAATAGAACCATACACAAAGGTACTCTGAAACAATTTAGCAAGAAGAAAAAAAGGTCCTTACAATGCCGTAAAATTGCCTAAAGCCGGTTCCAAGCTGAAATTCACACAGAAAAGCACATGCGTGCATGATCAAGTGTTTCCACGCATGCTGTGAAGAACAAGGAAGGAAGCTGAACACAATTTCACGCTGCTGCTAAGCCCATGATTTCATACTAACAGAGGCTAGGCATATTTAATGAAGACCACAGCAAACATACAAGCAGAAGGCATGCTTACCTCTGCGGAAAAAATTGCTATAGTGACATAAGGGGAAATCTCTGTGGAAGCGTATGCAGAACCACGCCAAGCAATGCCATGAAGCAGTGCTTATGATTAGCAAAATATTCTACTTCAATTAGCACGTCTTTTCTGCTACACTGTTAAGCAGCACTGTGAAATTGGGCCCTGGCCTGTATAATGCATTCTTCAGGCAGCCATATTTTACAACTTGGAGTCGAGAGCTCAAACTTGTCATGCGTTCTCATGTTGCCTGGAGTATTTTTGGAAATGCAAAGTGGAATTCTAATTTTATAGTCACAAGACAGGTTTTCTAGTTTTCTGGTAACAACAAAGACCTACCACGCTAAGACACAGCAGCTCCCGGTCCAAGTAGTTCAGCTTCCTTTTCTCGATGGCTGCCAGATACGTCTGATGGCGTGTGTAGGAGTACGGATAGCAGTAGGCAAACTGGTACGTGTCACCTTCTTTGTCAAAAGCAAAGGGGAACGACATAACGTAGTTCTTCCGGTGGTCAGGGCAGCGGTAGTAGTAAACATTTTTGGAAGGGATTCTTTGCCTGGAAAAGAAAAACATCAATTAAAGTTTCTCCAAATGAGTTTCAAAAAGGATCATTGACAGTTTAGCATTTGCTTTTACCAGGGTTTACTCTATCATCTACGACACATAGCGGTACATGTACGTTTGAAATTATCCTTTCTGTCAGACTATGTTTGTGATATCAGTTGTTATGTTAATTTGGTACAGCATTACATGTATCAGTCTGTGCTGGCGGCTAGCCCAAGTATATAAAAGAAGACGCACAAATGATTAAAGCTTGTTCAGTTTCTGCGCTCCTTTCATTGCGTTCATTTGGTTGGGCTCGTTCCTTTCATATGGGTTCGCACATCAGATACAATAATGTTGCAAACCTGGCACCACATACAACATGATATTCTACTGTTTCCGCCCTGAGTTGAAGTGAACCCTCACCGGCGGAAGAAAGAAAGGCTGGTGAGAAGTTTTCCAACTGGGTCCCTGTATGCATTCGGTGCACACATAAAGACCAAACATTCCAGCATAGATTCACTGCACGTACTCAGTGTGCCCTGCGCCAAATGCACATAACTTGTGTGCCTGCACGGTGAGTTTGTACCAAAGGACCACCATTTCCATCGACACACACGTCCTCTTTGTTCCCGCTCGAAGTGGACAGGATTTGTGACCAGCACTTTGAGTAAAAATAGGATAGTTCATGTACAGTCTCCTTTAAAGACAAACAGTATTTCTCACATAACAGTATAATGGAACTGGTAACTAGTGCACTCTGACATCTTACTCCAGTGAAGGTGACAAAAAAACAGACATCGAACTGGGAAGTCTGGGGGCCAAAAATATGTTTTTTTAAATTCCAACATAAAAAGAAGTGTTTTGTTAATATCAGCTGATCCATGTAATATTCAATGTCAGACAGAAACAACCTGCAAATCAATTACTACCGTAAGTACCATCACACAGAGACGTAGAAAAAGGCCTTCAGAATCAACATACTCAGCCACCGAGATCACATTTTGCTATCTTTGGAATTAGAATTTGATTACAAAAGAGGCTAAGAAACAATATTTAGACACTGGTAATTTATTTATCCCTATAATGAGTGCTGGGAAAGAATATCACTTCACAATAGAACTAAAATGAGAGAGGAAAGGCTTGCATCTACATGTCGACTTTTCTCCTTTCTTTCTTGCTTCTCAGTCTCCCCCCGGCAAATCATCACCTAGGTTAGGACCAGCAAATTATCACATATGCTGACATCGCAGACGGAGAGAGGGGGCAACTGGGCCCCGCGGCACCAAAACATGAGCCACGTTTCCAAATTCTACGCAATCGCACCCGGGCTAACACAATTAGCATCTCAAATGTTTTGTGATGGATGTGGCAGATTGGGCCTGATGCAATAAGTGTGGGGAGAAATCCTTCGGGTAACACGTAGGTGAGCGTATTGGGGATGATAACGAAAAAAAGGAGGGGGGGGAGGGAGTAAGATGAGTTTCATTGTCTCTCTGTACTTTAAAGAGGACATCATGAGGCGAGGCCATTTTATTTCATTTGGGGATTTTGAGGTTCTAAGTGCATACAAGTATGTGGGAGTCTCTGGCTGCGCAGAATACAGCACCAGGGCAAGGGCATTAAGACTCTGACTGGCAGAGTTACCAATACCTTGAAGGTGAAGTTGCACAGTTCTTTACTTCTACATACATGTACATTCAAAAGGCAGAGCAAGGCGTTCACAAGACGCCGCGATATCCTAATGGCTAAAGTCTATTGAAATTGTTTCAATCTCCTCATCGGAGAGTTGTTGGTTCAGATTGAACTGACGGTGAGGGTTTCTGTCTCGACATCTTGGACGGATTTTTTCCTGTCCCTCCTTTGGACAACATGGTTGGAAAGATTCTTGGAGATGGATTATGCCATATAGAGGAGCAAGTTCAAGCATTGACTATTGTTGACTAATGGTTTTTCTTTTTCCTGATGACCTGTGCACAGAATATAAACGGAGTACCAGCCAAAATCGACAAGTGGTTGATAAATAGTCAGTGTTGCTTGAATGTATTTGAAATGTTGAGAACAAGATATTCTCCCAACCAGTTCTCTCAGAGTCAGAAAAACTCAGAAGTAGCTACAGGTACGGGCATATTGAATAAGTAGTGTACTAAGTGCAGAGAAGTTGGGACATATCAAAATAAGATAGGACAAATTCCAAGTTATGTACTCTAAACAGAACACAGAAGAACAGACATGTGCCAGCACACAAGGTAAATAAGATGCATGACACAGCCTCAGCAAAATTCATCTGCAGCACAAATGCACACACATTTGCATTGTTCACACCGAGCAAAACCAAATGCACATTCTGCTGATTGTGAATTGAAATGTGCATTTAAGGTTTTGGCACATCGGCATTATTGACACATCATATTAGAATATAGACACAGACACCGGTAGGCAGATAGCCATACAAAAGTTGTATAAGATTTTGAGCTTTCATAACGTCTGTGCACAAAACGGAAGGCGTCGACGGTCGAGCAGACTTCACTCTGCACTGCAAGATACATGTAGCACTCTAGTAATGTAATACAACTCCATGACTCAACTCTATTAACTCAACTCTATGGTTTGTCCAAACAAGGAATATGGTAGCATAGCCAAAAATCCTCATAAGAGCAAAAATATCAAATCAAAAGAAAGAAACCACTGCACAACAGCTCACTTTGTTAGTAGCAGCGTCTAAAAACTAGCAGTGTGACTGGCATGTTGTCAGCCACGGTTGCTCTCAGCCCAACAGAATGTAAAATAACTTGTTCATTGTCTGTGAATCAATCAAATACTGTAAGTCCTGACATGATGGTCTCCCCACCTAAAAGGCTGTGTTGCAGTCAAGACCATCACAAGATCAGTCACAAGTGACAAAGATCAACAATGACAAGGAATGTTTTTGTTACAGTTTAGCTTGTAACAAATAGCTTGTGACTTAAATTTTGACTACGTGTCCTGCGGGGTCTTGGGAAGGTCTTTTAAGAGGTCTCTACAAGAAGTACATGTACATGTATAAACCATGGAGAATTCAGGAGCTATAGGGTAATGTTTGGTACATTTGATTGTTTGATATCTGTTCAGTATAGTGGTGGCACTGTACTGTAACACTACTCCCTCAGGACTCCTTGTTTAAGACTTCCTTCTGAAGTATCACCAAGGAAATCCATACCACCTGATATTGACGGGGGCATCTCCTTGAACTGGCCCAAAGCCACCTTTCACACCTGCAGCCTTTGACAAGACCACCAGACCTGAAGGGTGCGCATACATGAATGCATACTGGGCACTATTTGGCTTGAACTTCTTATCAGGATGATGCACCTGAAACTCCTTGCAGTACACTCAGTGTAATATGGATCTAGGTCAGAGCTCAAACACCTGCAACATAAAACAAACACCTGTACTTTTTTGCTGCTTCTCTGAGCGAACTTGACGAGGCTGGACACGTAACACCTCCTTCCCACGTTCTATACACCATGACGCTCACGGTCCAACACTTGCCACTCCAAACACAAGGCAGCCTACTATATGGGTTTAACGCACCTTGTGAGATCTTGGAAACACTTCACATATTAAAGCAAAATTTTCAACACTTTGAAGTTTACTCCTGTCCGTTAAAAGTGAAGTTAAACTACATCTGGTCAAACAAAATTGCAAAACTGCCAGGGTTCAAACTCCCAGCCCCATTGCAGGCTTCAGGGGGGGAGGGAGTACCGGTACCCACTGGGGGCACATCTCAAGAACAATAGATACTTTTGATACTTATGGTTTGCCAAGGGGGACCAGCTGATCACAGAGGGGGAGCAACTGCCCCCCCACAGGCCTGTCAACACCACCTCAAAATTCAAATGTAGTTTTTGGACCAACAGTTTTACAAAGGCCTGATTTTCAGAATTTTGTTTTTTTAAAGTTTGTGAGAATTTTTGAGAAGTTAATTAGGAAATCAGAACACCTATGATGCTGAAGTTGAAAGGTTCAAGACTGATAAGATTAAGTTCAATTAAGCCTCTATAGAGTACTGAAGTATGGCGTCATTTAGAATCAGTAGATACCATACAAATGAATGGAGTATGCGCGTATTGGTTCACGCGTGGGTTCTCCCAGTAATGCTTTTTACACACATAAGTGTACGTGTGACATATTCACTTTGGTACTCTATACTGATGTTGCGTCAGGTGAAAACCTAAGCTGAATGCTACAGCAAAGCAACACTGACATCATAACACGTTAGCAGTGAATTTCACTTTACTTAAGTTGAAATGTGTTCAATTTTGCAAATTTGCAGCGTGAACTGACGTCACAAAATCATGTTGTTCACTTCTGCACCAAATATAAACTGGCTTTGAGGTTGAACTCAGCTGGGCCACGATTTAAGAAAATCGCCTCAGACAGAACCCAATCAAGCTGCTTTTTCAACAGCCTTTCCTGTCATTTTTTTTTTTTTGTGTGCGCACCAGGGCAAAGATCCATCAGATCAGGAGAAATGAATGTATTTACTGCCTGATGTTTCTTTCATATCCTGCGACACTTGATCAAATTACTGACATGTTACACTTCATGGTGTGACGGCAAAGGACTCCAATCACCTCCACTTCGCACTGGCAATTAAAGCACGAGGGGGTAGGGGGGTTTGAGCACAGCACCATCGCTGTCATTTGTCAGCTGTTGTCTGCTGCGAGATTTACAGTTCGAGCGGGAAGATTGCTTCCCAACTCCATCAGGGCAAACGCCCCGTGAAAACAGTCATAAAAAATACATGCATGTGGATGGGAGTTGAGATCCAACCCTGCCTGAGGAATCCTTATTAAACACTGACAGCTAAACCTTGTTCACAAATATTGATTTCCGGCTGTTTTAAGCCATTCTACAGAAAACCGAATGCTGCCAGGGCAGTCCTGACCAGGCAGTACAATTTCTGGAAAGCTTCAAATCGTTTTCCTTCCGCTAACTGCACACAACACGCCTCACATAGTCTTGATTACT